GATGGCAAAACTTGGCGTGAGGAGATGGTGCAACAGATTCCACCAGGTGTGCCTGAGGTTAAAGGTGTACTTAATCAGGCTTTCGATGATCAAGGCGGCATCTTGTTGGTCACCTATGAGGCGGGTCCTAATGGATATGTTGCCAAGTATAAATATATAAGCAAAAGCAAACCCGAACCACCGATATTTGAAATCCTTTTAAGTCCAACACTTCTAAAGGTGGCAGCCGGTTAGATTTCGATTTTTTATAGAGCTTTACCTAATAAAAGTTGAATATAGTGTTCGATAAATATGGAAAAAATGCGCTAGAGTAATATTTGTTAATTTTAAGCTATCTTTTAAAATTAAATTTAGATATAGTGTATTGGACGGGATTTGTTATGACAGTTTGAGGGACTATTTTACATATTAGTATATATATCGATATATTGTTTAAAGCTAAAGCTGATCTTTATAGGTACATGTGCAGTTATTTTGAATGACAAAACTTTAGAACATTATATTAAGACATATGCCTAAAAGTATGCTATAAGAACTAACAGATAAACATTCAAATCTACCGATGTCGAACTTCAAATACACTTAAACATGCTGAAACAGAATAAGCTTCATGTTTTTCTCTCTCACGGCCACTGGCAAGGAAATATCGATATCAATTTTGCCATTGTACATTTGAATTGTGTTTATTATTGCTATCGATTACAGTTGCCCTCAAGACAGTTTAGTGGCATTCAAATATTTAACGCTTGATTTGACATGCAAACTGATATTAATTTATTAGTTAGAGCGTAAATCGACGGCGTAGTAGACAGCAATTTCACCTCGCGTCACCTGCGCCCCCCACCTGTTCGGCTCGTTGCGAGAAGCGTGAGCAGAATATCAAACAATGCTGCGCGGCTGTTTGGCACCTCATATCATATTTATCAGCCAGCCAGCTGGCAATTCAGTTGACTTTCTGTGGCACTCGTGTATTGACCGACTTATCATCTACGTTGTGCGGGAGCCGATAAGCCGCCACGATGCAGCTTTTGGCTTGAATTACCCAGCAATTGCTCGACCCTCTCTCTGACTCTGTCTTTGCTTTTTGTGCTCTGTCAAAATGTTTAAAGAGTGGCGGAAGCCTAATTACAAACGATGGCAGCATCATCGGCAAGAGCAACAAAAGCAAAAGCTGCGGCAACTGCACCGCCGCATGCTTGACAGGTGCCAATGACAGTGACTACGGCTGTAAGAGTTGTTTTTATTAATGCCTAATAATTTTCTTAATATTTGCACAGAGAGACGATGATCGTGTTTGTCTACGACACAGAATGTCTGAAAGACGAGGCAGATGATCCCATTGCCGCGGTGCTCTACTTTCATCCCAGTTGGGTATCGGACACACAGAAAGTAGCTCTATGTGGCCAGTTAATGGGCACATCGTATTTCCTCAAAGATTGCTTCTTTAAGCCGCGGATCCTGGCTTTGCAGAATGGCAAATTCGTGCTTAAGGAGTTTGGACGCTTCACTTTGGTATGTCGAACACAGGACTCCAGAGAGCTTCTCATAGTGAACTAATCGCCTTCTGCTTTCTTCCTATAGGCCGTCGGCACTGATCGCAATATTGGAGATGAATTGCTGCAGCATCGAGCGAATCTGTTGAGCTCGCTTTTGAAATTCTTCCATCGCGACTTGCAGTCGCTGCACGATCAGTACGCACAGCCCGCCCAGCAGCACAACCGTAATCTCAACGAGAAGCTATATCACATATTTGAGACATATCTGCCTATGCTTCAACGCAATGGCAACACATTCCAGAATGTGCCAAAGTTGCGTATGCCTAAGGTGAGTGCCCTAATGCTTACTAAACACTGTATGAATCATTTAACTCACTTGTCCACAGACCGCCAGCCATATCTATCTGGAGGCCATACAGACTCTTCAAAGCTGTCAGCAAACAAAAGGAATTCTTGGCGGCGCCATTCTCTACCACAACAAGTGAGTACAATCAGTAAACACTTGTAAAGCCTTGCTAAGCTCTCTGTCCTGCCTTCAGAGTGGTTGCCTCCCAGCTAGGAGATGGGGTGACTAAGCAACTGGTGCTAACCGATCCACGTCATGTGCGCACTACGGCCGAGCAGCTAAACATGCAACAGTTTCACATACCGCACGGTGTGCAAATGCTGGTCGTATATGTGGAGCAGCAGCAGTATCGCAAGTTGGTAACAGAGGCGCAGCGAGCTCAGAATCTCCAGACGACAACCACTCAGTTGGGTCAAGGGTCACTCCCATTCCAATATGCTAAGCGTAAGCTGAAGCGCGACAAGTCGCTTATCTTTACCCATATACCTGAGGAGGAGCAGGCGACGTCGACGTCGGAAACGGTGGTGCTGCCGGCGGCTAGGCCGAAGTCAATGCGGCCAACCCATTTGCCGCTGCGCTTGAAGAGCTTGCACAGCAAGGATTTACCTGAGTCTGGAATTGCTTCCATCAATTTCGATGAAACAGACTCTTATCCCGAGTTCATTGGCCGGACAAGCGTCTGTAACACGCCTATGACAGAGAATAAGGTGCTGCCAGTTGCTAATGTTATGTCAATATGCGCCAATCCTGAGGATGAGGATGCTGATGCGCATAACTCAAATGGCAAGGTGACAACAGTGACGGCTTCGTCGTCACGTCGTAACTCGCTCAAGCAAGATGTGGAAAAGTTCTTTCAGAACTTCATCAGCAATCCGCACAAGCAGCTAACGCGCCGCAAATCCTCCGCCGATTTACAGGATGCTTTGCGTGCCATCTCCAAGAAGTTGGGTCACATCACGCACGGCTTTAAGACGGACGAAAATCGCAATGGCAATGGTCACGCCGAGGGCAGCTCTGATGTATCTCCCGACTACATAGAGAATGATGAACGCAGCAGCTCGCGCACCATTAGCGATCCCACCTATCCGGTTTTCAATGCCAATGGCCAGCAAATATCGCGTAGCCTGTTCCAGCAGTTTCTGGAGCAGTATCGCAAGCTGTGGGGCGTTGCCAGCGAACAGGCCGCCCAGGCCGCAGAGCTGGCAGCGCTCGTTGCCGAATTCCAGGAGTTCAACATGGAAATACAAAAGTTGGATGAGCACATGAGACAGCAGGCAGCCGAGACCTCGGCCACGGACTCCACTGAGTCAGCAGATCGCAATCTAAATATAAAAGCAAAGACGCCGTCAGATAAGCGGGCCATGTGTCTGCCCCTCAAGTCGGCGGGTGAGTGCGGCAATGTGGAGACAATCGTCACTCAGCGTCGTAATGGAGGTGCTGGCGTTCCCTTAACGCCGCTCATGGCCAAGCTCTCTGTGCTGGCGCTCAACGAGACCACGCCCATTGAGATACAGACTCCGCTGACCAGCAGCAAAGTGTTTCCGCGGCGCAGCTCGCTTAAGTGTGAGGATGCAGTCGATGCTCTGGCTGTATTCTCCAACACACAGCCCGCTGTAGCTACAGCTTCAACGGATGGACTACAGCGCACGGAGCTCTATGTGTGCGGGCAACAGAATATGACATTGCTGCTGCTCATGGAAGAGGGCTCCTGCTTCCAGCAGACCATAGTCCAGAAGATGGTGAGTTGTCCTATTGGTACTCATGGGGCAGTGCCTTATCTAATGTTTCGTTTCGACTTACAGTTCGACATTTGTGTGGCGAAATTTCCACACATGGAATCTCAGTTGAATCAAACGCTCAACGTCAATGTGGAAGGCGACAAGCGCGACTGTGGCAACTATAGTTTCATGTGCATCGATGCCAAGTGGGATGCGCTGCAGCGCAACGGGCCCTGGAATCCGCTGGAGCTAAATACGCTGGAGAGCATGCACTGCGATCTGCAGCAACGGAGTGATCAACTCACCGATTTGATACTTCGGTAAAATATATAACTTCAAAGAATCATTAAATAACTGCGCATATTAAATTCGTATTATGTTTGTAGCTCTCATGACTCGGTCTTCTATGGCTATAAGTGCGGACGCACAGAGTTCTTCTACAAGGAGCCCACACATCAGATCAATGGCATACCGCCGCCCTCGGATCCCATTGGCAATATTCAAATGCGCGCCAAGTCACGTCTGGAACGTGATCATTCCTACATGCTCTTGTAGATTACGGATTAGCCATATGCATAAATAACTACAAGATACAAAATACAAAATACAAAATACAAATACTCGCATGCTTAGCCAAAAAGAAAAAGAAAACTTAAATGTCCAGATCTTAAATGGAAGCTGCTATGCAACCATAAAGCCAATTAATGCCATCCGTTCTAACTGTAACTTACTTTGCCATCTTAGTCTGTTTTTACATTGAGTCTCTGGCAACCGGAACGACAACTTTTATCAAGTCTTTTAACCTAGGCGTAAACACAGCATATTTTAGATAATACTTTTATGTGAATTCAATATGCAGCTGTTAGCTAAATTTTAATAATTTTTATATGATTGTTTAAAAAAGTACAAAACCTTATTTGTTTTCTATATATTTATAGCATTGCTAACAGATGTTGCTAAATTTTAGTTTTAATTCCCGTTGCAAAACGTTTGTTATGATTGCGAATTTAGTTTTCAGTCAATGATTATTTTTTATTTTTAAAAACATATTTGTATGCGTTATTTTGCAATTGAATGTTAGTGCCAATTTAAATTCAAAAGCCGTCAATGTGTATAGAAGTTGCTAAGTAATACCTATATCTATATATATATATATATATGTGTGTATATTTATCTGAATTGCCGCATATAGAAAACGTGTGCAATAAACAAATATTTTGCGATTTTATGTTAACTTTAGCCCAAATACATTATGAATACAACTCAAGAGCACAATTTGTGCAATCGAAATATGTAATTGATATCAGATCACGATCGCGATTATGATGCGTGCATAAGTTTTAAAAAAGAAAAGAAAAATAAAAAGTCCCCCTAAATACTAAAATATTCCCGGGTTTAATTTATTTTTTTTTGCATCGTTGTTTTACTTGTCATCCCAGTTAAGCGTCAGGAACACAACACATTGTTGCTATTGTTGCTATTGTTGCTTTTGTTGCTCTTGTTGCCTAGCTGATATTGTTTCGACATGGTAAGTGTGGGCTGGCCCACTATGTGTGCTTCCATTGAGTGAGATCTATTGTATTCGATTCGCGTTCTGCAGCCCAACCCAAAGGGGCTAACGATTCGAATCAAGCTTCCAACTCGTATCCAGCCAGATGTAATGCCCTCACCGGGCAGAGCTGGTCAATATACGAACAAGATACATCATATGAAAAAGTATCTACTGGAAGAGTTATGCCAACACGAGTTCGCACTGCCCTTCATGGAGCCGGTGGACACGAAGGCACTGAATGTGCCCAGCTATTACACGATCATCGAGCATCCAATGGATGTGGGCACCATTGCTATGCGAGTGGAGAATAGATACTATTGTAGCGTGAATGAACTAATTGATGATGTCAGACTTGTAATTAGCAATTGCTTCACATTTAATATGCCGGGTTCGATTGTCTATCGCGACGGGGAGGAGTTAGAAAAGCTGTTCATGAAGGTGCTCGAAAAGCTACCGATAGGCGACGAGGTGCCCTATGACAAGGAGAAGGGCGAAAAGTCAATAATGAAACGTCAATGTCGCTTTAGGCTAAAGAAGCTCCAGGATGCCACGGAGCAATTGGAGCAAGATGCGCAGGCATTTTTTGACGAAAAATGGTTTCCCATAGCTGAAGCGCTGAACACGCACAGCATCAAGTCCCTGGATGATTTTGATAACCGGCTGGACAACATACTTAAGCATTGTCAGGATCATGGAAAGCGCATCCTGGAGACATACGACTACGAAGCCAATCGACTGTCGGATGATCAGGAGAACAAAGATGCTGAGAATGCAAGTGATGAAATGGCGAACGCCATATGCCAATGTCAAAAGCCCCCCTTCGATTGGGAAGATAACTTGATCGATGCCCTCGACGATGCGCTCACTTGCCTTAAGCAGGATCTGGCCAAATCTCGTCGTGGTGAACTAAGGGATAGTAAGATCTACTACAGCCAGCAACTTTTGCCGATATTTGTCAACGCTCAGATTATCAGTGAAGGTCTGTGCTCGCAAACGAATCTGTCCGACTCCTCCGAAGAGGAGGAAACTGATTGCAAAACGAATCGGGTTAGCCTGCTTGAGCGTCAGACGATTCGGTCGCATTTCAGTGAACTCTTACCTGAGGCAAAGTTCGAAATAATGCACATCGTTGAACAGGCCGAGTACCGATCTGGCAGCAACGCCGACCGCAAATACAATATGATGTACTTCAGTCCACAGACGATACTTCTTATAAAGAAAGCGATCGACAAGCATCGCCAATCGAATGCGATGGATGCCCAGTACTTCGAGACAATGCAAGAGGATGGAACGCAGGACTTGTACGAATCGGATCCAGCCACAGAGTTCGTCGAAAACATGTCTCAAGACATCGACAATGATAACGACGACGAAGCGAGTGACGAATCTCATGTTGACTATGGTTTGGAGCAGCAGCCTCAGATGCCAAATTATTATGCCAACTCGCCCGAAGTGCAGCAAGAACAGAACGAGGCGAATCCGTTCGAAGACTACACGGCCTCTGGCAGCGTCATGGAGTGGGAGGCGCGTAATGAATGCGACTCCGATGGGAACCATAATTCCTCCGACAGTGAAATTGTTGTCGAGTCAGCCAATGATGCGTCTCCACAACATAATAATCTTATGGACATCGCATATGAGGAAAATATTTCCATAGAGTAGATAAGAAAAAAATAAGTTTTAAAAATAATCTCCTAATAATTCACTAGGCTTATCGAAAAATGATTGATTTATTTCGCTTTCATTTCAAAGTTTATGTTGTCGTTGTTTTTGTGAAGTGTTTTTGTTGTCTTATTATTAATTTTACTAATGCTTCTGCATATTTGTTCTTATCAAAATATTCATTTTTCTGTTTGCTTCCAATGATAATGTCGTTCATGCATATAGAGCTTATGATAATTAATAATTAAAAATGTAATCTTACGGTACCACAATGAAATAATTCTCAAGCGTTTTCTTTGTCCAACTACGCGTATTTCTAAGTTCTTGCTTAATTTGCGAACGAAACTAATTATTTAATTGTAAGCATATTAGATAAATCACACAACAATCTTTGCTGCACTTTGCACTCTCACTAACTTCGTTGTAGGCGGCTAAAAACTATATGGATTACATCTATTTATGTATGTAAGTAAATAGTATGTACTAATATATAATGTAGGTATGTGTGTAGTATGATTAACATTCTTGCGTTTCTTCATTTAGCACATTTGACTACTAAGCTTAGTAATTAACCCGTTGCTGCCGATGATTTCGGTTTTAATCTCTGATCATCAACTATGCCACAATATGACTATTCTTGTTCAGATCAGTAAGTAACTCGGCATTCAGATCCTCCCCTTCGAGCAAATCGCCATTGAGTGAATGCGGTATGCTTGTGGACAGCACCATGCCACGCCCCGCGCCGACACTGACTCCACCAGCGCTGCTTGTACCTATGGACACATCATCTGGCGGAGAATTGCGACGACGTTCGCGTTCACGCACAATATGTGGCGCCTCATTGAACTCGTCTAGTTCATCCATGCCTGACAGTAAGAGAAACATTTAAATTGACTTTAGGGAAACATCCAGGTGATGCACTTACCCGCATACTTGGTGCCTGCCAGCAGTAGATACTGCCCGGCTCGATTGGGCCACAACAGTCCGGTCATTACACAGTAGGCCATGCAGTCGGCCGAGTTTGTGATGCCCTGCAGCAGCTTGTACCGCCACATAGGACTCACCTGCAATGCCACAATAGCCACGATGGGCAAGTAGATGAACCACACCAAGCTGGAGGCGCCCAAATGCAATAGAAAGTCCAGCTTCTTGCTGGAGTGCTCATACTTCATGGTGTTACGCAGCTCATAAAGGAACCACATCATAAACGAAGTGCTGTTGGTTGAGCAGTGTAAATTATTGATTGATAATATTGATTATGAGCACAAATAGATTCGCAACTTACCGCAGTATTAAAACAATCCAGCCTGGCCAGCTCTGGTACTCATCGCTATCGGATATAATATCGACTTCCGTCTGAAACATAGCTCATTGTAATAATACCATGCATGTCCACACACATTCCTCTTAACTCACCCGATCCCATATGTAAAGAAATACGTGGAAAGCACAGTATGGCACCCAAATCGACATCAATATGATCCAGCCGGTGCGGCTGATTTGTTGTCGCGTCACCGCCCAGCCCTTGGCTAGCAGCAATAGAATCAACATGAATGTGGTGCGGCTGAGAATGTCCAGAACATCGCCAGCTGCCTGCATGTTGGGCTCGCCGACACCGTTGGCGGCATAGCGTATCAGGTGCGCGGTGATCAGAGCCAAGCTCACAAATTCGCTGAGCAGGCTGAGCGTGAACAGCTTGGTCACCGGGTGTTTCTGGCGACGCACAGCATAGATTTGCATGGGCAGCAGCACAATGTAGACCAACATAAATATGAGGTACATCTCCAGCAGATTCTGCTGGTCGTACGGATACTGATAGGTCAGCGGATGTGCAACGGAGTTATTTGGATGCACATTCACCAAATTAATGTCATATTGGAGAGTTGCAAGCAGGCTGCTGCTCCGATTGCTCAGCCTGGCCAAGTTCTCGTGGGAATGCCACTCACAAGTGGTGCGATTGCGGTAGCATGCCACCAATGCCACATACCAAAACCTACAAAAGCGAAGAAGATAAGCCGTGTTCAGACAAACGTCAGGTAATTCGATCCATCATCGGTTTCTGACTAATCAGTAAACAAGTTTACTCTTTGTGTTTTATATAGAATAATGTAAACAAATAAACATATGAAACAGAAGAAACAACAATTCCAATTACTTGAAGAAAGGAAAGGAACAGTAGCTACGGACATATCTATTTTTATTGCTCGATAGACGACGGCAGCTTATCAGAAAATTGATAAAAGCTGATATCTAGGCTACTTACCGTGGCTCCGCCTCCAGGTCTATGACGTATGTGAACTGATGTCCGCTTATGACATTCGACGGTGCATCTTCGTCGATGCACAACTGGTTCCGCGGACAGGGTACGCGGCGTAGAAAGTCACGCTTGCCCTGGGGATTGCAATCCGGATCGTAGACAACATTTTGCAGGCGTGCGAACATGCGTGAACAGGCGCTTTCTCTATTGCGATAGCTGCGATTGCTATAAAAGTCCACAAACATGGACTTGTCCAGCACAGCGAGCGTAACGGGCGCACTGTATGTGTCCGGAGAGGTCACATTGCCAAATATATAGCCATAGGACTGCCCACTGCGCGGAGTGGGCAGGTCGGCTTTTTGAAAGCCAAATTTGATGAGGAACTGAAAAAAGTCAGCCGTATGGAATTCCCCGCTGATGTGGGTTGTCGACGCTGGCGGTGTGTGCAGTGCGAGCATCACCAATAGCACCAGCCATTGTATATTGTGGGAGGCGGGGGGTGGTACTGCTGCTGCTGGTTTAGCTGATAATGATGCTGCGTACATTGCAGACCTTATCAATGTTTTTGTTGTTATGCTGCCAGCGTCGCGAGTATGTTTTGCTTTTTCTTCAGCTGCTGTCGTGGCAGCTAAAGTGCAATTACACTGCCAAGGTGGCGCACTTTTGTGCATTCTGTGCGAATTTGTTAGCTATTTTTGTTTGTGGAAACTTCCACTTTGCTCAGTTTTGCTCTGTTTGTCTTCCTCTTTCTCAATTGCTTCGCAAAAGTGGACAGCACTTGAATATGTAAAGTTGTGGCCACCCAGAAAAATAACATTAGCTAAAATACCAGCTTTTACGCTACTGCATTTAATTTTGGATTTGCAGTTTATTACAAAATGATTCTAATAAAAGTGTGTATGTAATTGTTTTGCTTTAAGTAAATGTATATAGTCTATCATTTGATTCACAAAATTTAAGTTAACATACTCATAACAGTAATGATTTTCGATAAGTGTAGGCGCCAGTTTAAAAGCAACGATAATGTATATATCGGTAGGCTAAGTTGCCGCGAAATGTACATTCATATACTGCATTTTATTTATTTAAATATGGCATTAAATAATTTATGTATCTGTTGCACATATAAATATATATTTCTTTTGTTTTATTAAGGTTCCATCAATGTTTCGGATTATGACAGTTGCAAGCGCAGAACGTACAATTAACATGAACCATAGATGGCGCTTTATACACTAAGGTATAATATTTCTTTAAATGTATTCACACAATTTAAAGTCCTTAAGGAGGCAACTGAAGCTCGTTTTAGTTTTCTAAAACTCCAAATTGCTGTCGTAATATGCGATTATCAAACAATAAGGGTCATCAGTGGAGTGACGTATTACACCCTCTTGAATGGTCGCATTAGCCACAGGCAAACACCTCTCCACCCCTCGCTCCATCCCCTGCCCTTCCTCACACGCAATTCAACAATAAATTTCAATAATTCTAAAATTTATGCGGAAAGAGAATGATGCTACCCTTTGGCGTTTCTGCAATGCCAACTTCAAAGTCTGCACTGTCCGGAATTACCGCTTTCTCCCTCTGTAGCTCCACCACTCTGCCTCCCTCTCGCTCTGCAGCGGCCAATAAGCGGGCATCCCCCTTTTCCATAAATATATGTATATATATATATAATGCATGCGTCGGTGGCGACAATCCCCACATGGATTGCGGTTGCCATTGATGCTGCGGAAGTTCTGTCAAGGTGCAAAAGAGCTTTGCACGTTGACAATTCCTTTGAGCTTTGATTGCTGCAAAGGGAGCGTGAAGGGTTTGATTCTCTTTTGAATACAAAAAAATATTAAAATCTGTAAAAATATAGATTTTCTATTGTGATTTCATGCTATACGGCTTAAGGGTGGCTACGTGTATCTCTTGTTGCCCAAATACTACAATTCGGAGCGCATCTTAAATTCATTATTGATGACGCGGCGAAAACTGTGAGGCAAACGTTAACTCGCCATTGGCTTTGTTGACAGTGACAATTCGGGTTCAGTCATATGTGCAAAATATGTAACAACAAAAGTCATCAGCAGTGTGTAACGAGGGCCGTTTCCAGAGTTGCCCTCGTTAGCCAAAACTATTTATTGCAAATGTTTCAAAGCACCCAAGAAACAAATAAAACCAAAGACAACAAAAATATTAAATACGAAATGTGACTTGGGCGTAGTTATACCCTGTACTTATTGCTGTTTGCCTAAAGAAGTCTTGAGAGACTATAGAAATTGTTCGTTCGTTCCTTTGTTCGATTTATGCTGAGCTTATACAACATGAAGGCTGCAGGGCATCTTCTAGTCGAGCTAGCTCAATTGTCGCATCTTTGTAGTTGCTGTTGTTGTAGGGGTTTCCAATACAAATCGACAAGGTTAGCAAAAAAAAAAAAAATAGAAAAATCCGCCTAATTTGTAGACGAACTCGACGCGCTACAGACCCAAAGGCAGACAGCCACACAAAGTTCATTGAAATGCCAAGCGACGAGCAGCTCAATGCCCATAGAGTGAATGGGGAGCAAGTCAGGGGGCTTAGTCCGAGATATTTGCCGACCTTTGCGAAAATCTATTTTTATTATTGATTGTCAAATGTAGTTTTATTTATAAATGATGTTTATATATTCCAGCTCAGTTGCAAAACATGCGACGCACCAGACGGGCTGTAAAATAGTAAATAATTTCCGTGAAGCTCAAGGCGCTGCAGCCCAAGAAGAAACCGACCAGGCCACCAATATAGACTGTTAAGCATACAAATGAATTAGTCGAGAAGAGCATTGAAATGTCTTGAAAAACTTACCCAAAACATCGGCAAAGGAGAAGAGCACATCACGGCGCAGCTGCATTTTGGGGTAATCAATAATGCCCCATTGTAGATTAGCGCCCAGAAACCAGACGCGAGACCGCTGCAAGACAGACAAATAGAGAGAGAGAGAGAGGGAGAGAGAAGACGGAGAGTGGTAGCATTCGAAATAGCAACATCAGCATAACAACTCAAGTAAACTGAAATTATTATTAAATGTAAAAACTTTCGCCGCACACTGTGCGAAAAAAAGTTAAGCAAAAAAACTTTTGTGCGGCCCGAAACAGAAATAATTGCATATTTCAAGGCGTGCGCTGGCAAAACAACTTTTGCGCTTATTATTTTTTACGGCCCGGTCAACAATTTCAATGTTTGTTCAAGCCAAAATGCCCGAGACCTTAGCAAGAGACGTTCTTCCTTGCCTTCAACTGCGAACAAGCATCCCGCTGCTTTAACGACCGCTAGATGGCGCTCTTGCTGTAAACATTTTCGAAGCACATTTAAAAAATACTAAAAAAAATACCCTGGGCACAGCTTTAAATAGGGTGTGATACACTTGTATATAACGTTTTTTTAGCTGTGGCTGAAGAGAGGCAACGCCTAGTAATTCATAAATAAATAGCTATATATATATATAAATAAAAAACTCTTTTAAATCAAAAAATAAACTATTTATCGAAATATCGATCATATTCATTTTTAAAGATTAAATAATATAAATATAAATCGATCTAAAAATCCCAAAAACACTTAATTTTACTGCTTACACAGTATTAGCCAGTCGAAAACGAAAATTAACTGAATAAATTTTGATTTTCTCTCAGCTCAGTTTTGTCTGTTGTCTATAATAATGGTATAGGGTTTCTTTGAATAAGTTTCTTAAGTTTTTATGTTTCAAATTCTGGTTATTGTTATGTTTGCTCCACTTACGTAGGACTGCACGAAGAAGTTGGAATCGTCGCAGTTGGACAAGCAATTGCAACTGATTTGGTATTTATCCGATTTTAAGGAGATTATCTCGCCTATAAAATAGCAAATGATTAGAACTATGAATGACAAGGGAGTGCAGAGCTAAAGTAAAGCTGGTCACGTAAAAGTGAAAATATTTCTTGATGAAATTTCTCGCATCAATTCAAAAGGAAGCCAAATATTTGCATGTGCGAAGAGGATTATCAAAAAATGCTCACGTTTAATTTTGACCAAGCAGCCGATGCCCTCCAAACCGCATATTGGCAAGAGACGACCGTTGCGCACTGAAAGAGATAGAGAGAGAGAGAGGGAAAGAGAGGGAGATAGATGTCAGTTTGTCGTGAAACTTCAAGTGGAACTATTTAAACATTTTATGAGAAAAATGCACAGCGGCAACAACGATAACGACGGCAACGTTGACACATAATAGTTAAGCTTAATGGGACCAATTAAGTGCAACTATGTGAACGGGAACGTAAAAGTGAACGTGAACAGGAAGAGGAACGGGAACCGGACGGGAAATGATGATAAGTATGAGCGCGATGATAAGCCAGAAAATTATAATTACAATAGAGAATTAACAATTGAATAAAATGCAATGCTTTAGTAGGGAATGCACGACTAGTAAATACCATAACTTAATTTCTTTTGATGAATAAATAAGTTTTGAATATAAATTAAGTTTGATAAGCAGATTTAATAACCGGATTATATATTGTTTTTATTGATTCTAGAGCATAGCTTAAACACTTACGCCGATTGCGATAAAAGTGTGGCACGCAGCCGCAAACGCGCAGGGCGAAGAACATGCGGCACTCGGAGAGGCACAAGCCGAAGCTGTAAATGGGCACCGTTTGCATCTCGTCGGCCTCGTACTGGAAGCGACATTTGCGCTGTTTGGTATTGAAGCTGTCAGAAGATACAAAAGTGAATATCTCTGACTGGCAATAGCCAATGGCCATCTGTGGGTGGTAGCTGCTTACGCTCTGGCATCCTCGTTCGTGTAGATCTCCAGCGCAATTAGCTCCACGGTTGTGTAGTCACTCTCGGGAAAGGTGTATCGCTGCTTCGATATGCTGGGCACATCGCCAGGGCCGTGAAAGTAGACATCGTAGGCTGTCGACAGATTGATGATCTGTGCATAGATCTCGCCGTCGAGCGGATGAACTGTCACACGATCGCCATGATCCAAAATGCTCCAATCGCCCGAGCGCCAATATCTTTGGAAATATTATATTTACTATTTAGATTTTATATAAGAGAAATAAAATTGATTAAAAAGAAGATATTTTCAGCCTTGACTAATCCCAAAGAGCCGCTTCACTTAGTTCATTGATTCTATCAGAGGAGCTCAATAGGAAAGACTTTAAACTTTTTTAAACTTTGTGAGCTTCATAGCAGCAGCATAGCAGCAGAATTTCAAGAAGGACATTGTGCAACACCAATATAATCCCAATTAATCTCAATGTCTCATTTCCGTTGCACAAACTGTCGACTGGATCTGCCATCGACAATTGGTTAAGGTCATATATATCCCGCTTCGGGTATATCAGTTGAATCAGTTGAATAGTCAAGCTGTGTCGTCACTCACTTGTAGGTATTGTAGCGTGCCACTAGCGAGTTGACTGAGTGGCAAATGCCAAACTCTGTTTGCGTCTCATAGATAAACATTTTGACAGCGGCGCCGCTGCTGATTTCCGGCTCGAAGGGCCACTTCAATTCATAGAGCAAGCTCAGATAGTCGCTGCTGTCGATGCCATACGATTTGTTCAGCGGCAGAGTTTCCAAGTTGTCGTATGTGAGACTCGCAAGTTTGATAATAAAATCCCGGAAAAACTCCTTGTCGTCCTCGTCCACGAACTGCTCGCTATGTGCGCTACGTGGGATATTAGACACATATAAATCGAACATCTTCAGTATATCTTTAGTCTTACTCTATATATTCCTCCAGCTTGATGTCGTCTATGCGCTTATGCGGACACACGGTCAGCGATGGGAAGCTGGTATTCCACACCAGCTTATTGCGATCCATCGAGATGACCATGGGCGAGGTCTGGAAGCGTTGCCAAGTGCGGTGGCTCAGCGAGATGATGCTGAACAATGCCACGCAGATGAAGGCAAACCAAAGCATGCTAAGAGAAGTCAACGAAAAAAAAAACATACGTAAATGATATATGGCGCATATATACCCTGCAAATGAAAGAGACTGAGCAATGGGGTATATTGTTTGTCAGGTTAAAAGGGGGATTTGATTACTATTAACAATGCTGTTGAATGGATCTGCACAGGCATAGCTCTGTCTGTTTCATCATCTATAGCTGTGTTCATAAAAATAGTAGTGAAACTGAGCAATTAAAATATGACATAATTAATTTTACTTTCCATGATTACATTTTATTTTTGATTTAATATTTTTATTTCTAATTTTTCGACTTTCATTCAGCACTACTATTTCTATGATCAACCAATTTTCTATGCATTTCGTGCAGCACTACTATTTTTATGAACAACAATCTATGTTAAAGGCAGAACGAGATATCTATTAACTGTTATCTATTTAAGTATATATATATATATACTTATATATATATATATATATATATAATTATGTCATACTTTAATTGCTCAGTTTATATATATATATAGGTATATATATATAGGTATATAAGCATATTCTATGTATTTAGCCCATATAACAAAACAGTTTCAGCTGCTTTAAGCTGGCTCCAGGGTAACTTCTAGTCATGCAAACGTCTCTAACAGCGCTCTTTCTCTATTTTTTTGGCGTACATGCTGTGAACGCACATAAAAATCTATTGCGTGTAAATTTTTGTAAGCATCAGTCGAAATATGCGACACAGAAGAATTATGGCCAAGTTAGGGAAGAGTCAATGAACGACAGGCGACGCAGCGGCAACCCTTTTGCAGTCGTCCCATTTTTATGTTATTTGGCTGCAAGTGCGACGACAGCCAAAATGGACGCATCACTAAGACACACACACGCACACACAAACAGACAGAGTGTGTGGCCATAACAAGTCTGACAAAAGCCAGCAAATCCTTGAAACATCTCCCTTTTGCTAGCGCCGCACCGCACAATGATGACATTTTGACGCCAGCAATGGCTCATAAAGCCTTCAGCGCTGTCAACACACACACATACGCACACGCACACATGTATATATATATAAGTATGTGGGCACTTCATTGCTGTAACAGCTACTTGGCTTTTAATTTTCAAGCATTGCGCTAGGAAAATGCCTCGAATTTTCCGCTCCTGCACCGAATCATTTCTAATTTTAAATCGTCTGGGAAATTCGCCAGTTGAGCAGCGCTCTTCGAAAGCTTTTCCCAGCTAGCAACGGGTATATAGAGTATATACTGAACTATATGACTATATATATATATATAGAGTATATACTAAGCTAATTATTATATATGATTATATATATACTATATATTTATTAGATTGAAATTTAAGTAGACTATGAACTACTCTTGGCTCTTAAATAAATAAGTAACATATGAAATTATATGTATATAGTTAGTTTATATATAAATTTTATTATATATCATATGAGCTCGATGAGAATTTTTTTGATTGTTGAAAAAATATAATTTTTAAAGATGCTTCTAATATAAAAATAAACTAAGTAAAACAATGCAGAAAGGCAGCAATATTTTCGGATAAAAACTTTAATAAAATTTAGGTAGTATGGAATATTTCTTTGATTTCATTTTGGTTCTGCCAACAAGGCTTACTATAAGCTAAGGGTGCGCTGCTTATGCTGTACATACAAGTTAATATTCAACTGAGAAATGTGCTGGAACTAACAGAGCTTTACACACTATTTAATTTTATTGTCAATATGATTTTATTTTATTAATTAAGAGAAAGAGAAAGAAAGTGTAGTTCAAATAAATTTATGCTTGCTGCCTGAGCAAACCTTTCTTAATTCTCGCAGCTTAATTAAACCTGACCGATGGCCTCTGCCTTCAAAATTTGATAATTTGGTTTATTAATTAAGTGCGTGATGAGCATGATGATGTGGAGTATGCTAGGCAGCCTTCTCTTACAAATTCAAACACAAATGTCGCTGTTTTATATAAATATATGTTTGCTATAAATATATGAAAATTAGTTTTACTTCAGCCAAAATGCTATCATAACTTAACTAATAAAAGCAAACTGACAACCTCATCAAATTAACAACTTAAAGTATTTAACTATATATTATATATATAATTATATATTTGCTTTATATCTTATGTAATGTGTTATAGAGTAAGGCAAGCCTGTAATCAACTTTTATTATGTATGAAACATATACAGCAACTGCCTGAAGCTGCACAATTCCTTAGAGGATATCTGCGAGCAGAGCATGCTTTATATAAATATCTCTGACTAGAAATGTTCTTACTACAGGATAACTGCTAGCAGAGTATGCCTCATATGAATTTACGTGCGTCTTTTTTTATAGTCAGACTTGGAATTTTTGTTGCTTTTATGGTCTCAGCAAATGTCTGCCTGGACATCATGGAACACAAGTCTCGCCTCATCAGTCTGCCTGGTTGGCTGGCTGGCTGTCTGTATGTCTGCCAAGTAGAGATTTGCTTTGTTTCATCATCTTTTGGCACTCATATGAATGAAATTTGTGCGTGAGAGGCTGTCAAATGCTAGCAGAGTGTAAGAGAGAATTATATATTATATATATGTATATCTAATTGGAATGCCTAATGAACTAAAATACAGTTCTGCTTAAGAAAGTAGACAATATATGATATGAGACAATAAATGATTCTTAATATTTAAGCAGCTTTCAAATTATGAGACTTTAGCTGAGTATAAAGACATATTTCGGAAACTAATCTCTGCCCAAATGTCTCACGCTCACTCAAGTAGCTGCTGTACCCTGGCAAAGTTCAATAAACTCGTGCATGAGTAAACTATTTGCGGTTGCATTTAAGCCATTGTTGAACCCAAATGCAACCCAAAAACTGAATGCAACTCCAATAGTCTTGCCACATTTGGCATCCTCTCCAAACGGCATCCGCATTGCACATGCATTTGCGTATTTTGCATTTGTAGTTCGCCGTTCTCTGATTCCGGCTGCGGATTATGCAGTCGCATGACTCCAGCATCCAACACCACTGAATACCAACGCTCGGAATTGAGGTTATCACATGTCAGCAGCACAGACTCCGGCGATTTATGCATATTTCACCTGAAATATTTCCACTGCAAAAGCTCTAAGCCGCTCGAGAGTTATTTAAATCAAAAATATTATGCGTTACACATTCATTTGAATGCTAAATACAACAATGATTTTTCTTTCATTTTCTTCTGTGTGTGAGCTAAGTTTTCATCATATTTTGAATTAAATTTTTTTCGTTTCAGTTTTAATGACACAGTTAAGGGTTCTATATGAATCATTTATTGCTTGTAGCTGAGAAATATGTGTACTTAATAAGATTAAATTAAATAATTAATAGAGCAAAAATATTGGCACAATTGCAAAATATTTGACAAAATAGTTATTCATGAATAAATAAATTTAAAATATTTTTTATACTTTTCGGCATCTGTAACTTAGGCGAACAAAATACCCTTCGAGAAGAAATTCATCGTCTATGAGGGACCGAGATGCCAGCAAGTCTCTTTCGAAGCATATTGAGAGAAAGTAAATTGATTTTTAATTTTTGATTCTCTACTCTGACATAAGCAAAAATCTCTTTGGTTTTTATGCTACTGCTCTGTAGACGTTGGATTTACTGAATCCAAAACTAAAATCAAAACTGAACTAAGGCGAGATCAATTTGAGTATTTTTCAAGAGGAATTCTAATTCTAGACTCTAAAATTTCATTGAATCTTGAGAGCCTGAGTCATATTTTAATATGCCATAAAAATTTTCTAGAGTTCATAATTTGGCAGACATCTAAATCTTATTGGAATCTAATTTCATTAAGCCTGAATATAGATGATATATCTGATATAGAAATAGTATATATAACTGTTCTGATCTTATGTGATCTGATGTGCCTAGTCACAGTTTGAAAGTAACAGTTTTCAGTCACAGTGATGACCTCAATCACAGTTACTAACACTATTCTAAACTTCTTTTTCCTTGAGCAGAGTATATGACAGTCAATCATACCCGCCTGCATGGTTCTTGTCTTTGCTTTTTCTTTTTATTTTTTTGTGGCTAACGTAAATAAATCAATCTGAAGTGCAGAAATAAAAATGGGCATGAATAAATAAAATTGTGGGCAGCACAAATCATTTAGTCGCGTGTATAGGGCTGGGAGCGGGGTGTGTGTGTGGGAGGGGTTGGGGTATTTTGTATTAATTAGAGCTGAGCTGAGCTGAGCTTTGCGTGCGGCACACAAACTCTTACCTTTCCCACCTGTCACTCTCGGCCCGGAAACTAATACAGAAATTGTAATGGAGCTTCTGCCAGGGGGCAGGAGGATTTGGCTAAAGTCTGGCTGTGTTATCCACTAATTAACCCTCAGCTGCTGGCTGACTGTGGTCCATTTTTGTTATTCGAACAGTTGCCACATGCCAGGCCCAGCCCCCGTGCCTGCCTGAAGTGGCTTGCCGTGGCATGGAGTGTGTTACCAATTTAAGCCTTGCCAGGCATGCCGTGTAATCCTGTTTGTCATGTCATGTCAGTTTTCAGGATTTATTGCACTGCCGCTTCACTCGCACCAAATACAACAACACACAAATTCCAGCAGCAAAAATATTACTTCCCCAAAGATGTGGCCAGAATTTGTTGCGCATGTCTAATTTTATTCAGACTATTCACTGCCTGTGTGTGTGCGGCCCGTCATGGAGCTGCTATATGGACACGCACTGCTCCCGGTGGACCGGTGGGCACATGGCATCGGGATCGGAATTATAATCGCCATGTTTTGGCTCAGGCAGCACGTGCGACTGGAATAATTTAAACCCTTTACTTGGCGCTTGGCCATGTTTAGTTTAGACCTGGAAATCGAAACGAATGTTAAGCTGGCCCAAAACTTTTTGTTGAGATTTCAGTTCGACTTTAGTTTAATTTCATTAGGAAATTAATTGAACGAAAGTGAAAGAGCAATAAAGAGAGAGAGAGAGAGAGAGAGAGAGAAAGTGAAAGTGAGAGTAAGAGCGAGAGCGAGAGCGAGAGCGAGAGCTCGATTGTGAGCATAATTAAAAAAGTTTCTTAACTTTTAGTTTTTAAAAGAGTTAATAGGGAAGTTAGAGAAAAGCACTTGTTAAGTATGAGAGGGATCAACTATATAGTAAATGAGAAATGAGTTATGTTTAAGCTTAATTTGAATCTGATTTTGAAATTTATGTAGTTCAATCAGAGCTGTTCAAGCATAAACCTGGCATTGAAGGCCACCTCATTCAGGGTCTCTTGGAGAGTTTATGACCATGCTTAACAAACGAACTTGTGCCCTATGCTAGGGCAGCCTTGGGAGACATTGGACCCTTTAGAAATATTAAAAGAAATATTTATTTGTAAGAAGTTTTGCTATTTGATAAGAAAGGTAAATCAAAGGAGCCTCTCTTCGCAGCAACGAGCAGCGCAGCAAAGCTGACTATAGCTCACAGCTGTTCTCTCAACAATAGTTAAAGTCCTTGACTTAAAGCCACTATAATTGAAACATTCAACCAGCCTAGTACTAAGTTGCCTTTTACAAGTATAAGCTACTCCACTCCCTCTCCACAAAAACTTAAACTTCCAACTTCTCTTGCCAGCAAAGTCTAAAAGCTGTAGCTGCAGTGCGTCAAGCACAGCTGGAGACACAGATGATTCAGTACACCATATTCAGACACACTCAAACCACAGCAAGGCAGGACTCTTGACTCTAGACTTACCGTTCCAAGAAGTTCAAGCCAAATTTGGCCAAATAGATGAATCCATGGATCGAAGATCCTTGCAGAAATTCGATTATAAAAGCGTGCAGCTTGGCCATGTATGGCAATGGGCTCAGCTGCAGCTGCTGCTCTTCAAGCGCTTCCTGCTCCGTGTTGATGGCAGGCGGCTGCCAGAGCGGAGGACGTCGAAAGCTGCGTATGCTGCAAGGCTTACGATGATTGAGCCCCACATGATCTTCCTTAGAGTTTGCAGTTGATTTCTGCAGTTTGTCGTCCTTAACTGGCTGACTTGGATCGGTTCTTTGGGCCGTGCCCGGAAAGAGCAGCAGACCAGGTCCAACGCGAGATGCCGATTTGATTGGCGTACTTCTAAGCTTGTGCTGCACCAGCGATGCGGTGGATGCTGTGCGCGAGTCAACGCTGCCATTCCAACTTGTCGCTGTAGTTGAACTCAAGCTTTGCTGCTCTTCGTGCTGCATACTTAGGGGCGCGGATGAGTAGCTGTGATGGCTGTGATTGAATTTGATTTCTGCAGGAATTGTGTGAAGTAAGAAGAAGATTTTGTTAGCTTAAGTTCTTTTTGTTCATGTATGTATACAAGAGTTCTTTCATTTGTGGGAAATCTCTTGAGAGCTGAACTTGTGTATGTAGATATTCGCTGGACAGAGACAACTTTAGACAATTTTAATTTTAACTAATTTTGATATTTAGTATTAGGCTATTTTCTTACACTATATTACCTCAAGTATCTCACATCAGAAGCATATATTGTCTGGTTTCTATAAGAAGAAATTTACTCAAATAAATTAGTCAAGTTAATTAATGTTTGTCTGTTTATATATGTGATTGCAGAGCGTGCCTAATTAACAGTAGATTTTTAACTATTTTTATCTATCTATTTTTTAGCTATCTATCTTTTATCTTTGTATCTTAAGAGTTGCAAATAGAACTGACGAAGGAAACTTCTAAAGTTAAATGGCAATGGCAATGGTTGCATTCTTTTGGTTAATGGCTTATCTGAAGCCTTTCCTTTAGCATTGATCACTATAAATTATATACACAGATAACTCTATACAATGCTGTGAATCAATTTTCTTAAGCAGCCAATTTATAAAGGCCTTTGTGGGCTTCGTTTTTGCAATGTGATCGGCATCAACTAGATCTGCCTTGCTAAATGCAGGCAGCCAATGCTTGATGTAGTTGTGGAGCTACTGACAACTCATGAGGAAATGGGTTTCGTTATTCCAGTTCAAGAACTGCTGACCACGCCCACTAGCCCCTGCCTGTGAAGTTCATTTAAATCGAACTGATACGAAACTGTTTTAACCTCCTTTCAGGCAGTCACATAACATCTGACTGAGCCTCGATATTAACACATATTATAGTATATACATTAATTAATATTAATATATATAAAGAGACAAATATTTACTGGCTCTGCATAGATTGCTGCTAATGCGCTTGACGCGGCCTGTTCGTTCAAATTATTTGCAATTTGCCATTTGGCCTGGTTTATTCACATGTCGCATAAAGCGTTTACACTGCGATTCAGTTGGCGCTGTATACACTCTTCGTAAAGCGTAAAAGCGTCGTTTTAAATATGTTTTTCTGGCGCAACAACAACAACAACAACAATAAATTATTATTACATTTTTTTTTTAATGCGATGTAAATTATGTCGTTGCGTGTGTGTGGGTGTAATTTGTATAAAGCCATTGAAAAGGCAATCAATATGAAGCACTGGACACTGAAGCTGCTACATAAGCCTCAACAGACAACAGCCATCAGAAATGAGGCATTAAAGTTGCGCATAATTTGGTTAAGATTACATTTACTCAGCTGCAGCAACATGAATGCAGCCGAGATTGAATGGGCTGAGCTTTAAATATATATATATATATATATCATAATAATGCGTTAATTGGATACAATATGGCACAGTAGACTTTACAATTTAAAAAATTTCAAAATAATAAAGCAGCCCTTAAAATTGTATTCAAGCCAAAATAATCGAGCATTGAATAAAGTTTTTTTTTCCTTTTTGTTTTGGGCAACCCAAAGGAAAGGCTAAGTCTAGCTGGGTTCCAATTGCAGAATGAGCAAGGTCGACTATCGCTTGTATTTGTGCAGCAACTGCTGTCGGCGCTGTCTGTGGAGCGAGCTGTCCGCGCAGGAGCATCGCTGCACGCGCTGTCGCCTGCCGTTCCATGCCTGCGCGATCTGTGATCGCAGGTTCGAGCCGCGTGATCGCACCGAGCTCTACTGCAAGCGCTGCGATTTTCATTTGGTTAAGCACGTCTCGGCCACGCCGCCGCCAGTGCTGGACCTGGAGCTGGATTCGGATATGGAGCCGGAGCTGTTCGGGCCGCCGCGCGATCGCTCGATGGCGCAGCGTTGGAAGGACATCAAGTCTGCAGCCGGCATTGTAGAGGATGGCTACTTCCTCGACTGAATTGTTAACTGTAAACTGCAAACTGCTTTACAAATATAGCGTCGCTGTCATCACAAGACGCAGCTGAATCTCTGCTCCATTTGGCAACTTACATGCGGTCGGGTGGGTGCATTAAGACCAGCTCATTGTAATCAGTTTGGGAGTATACAGATTGGGGTCAGATTATTGGGGCAGGCGGCAGTTCGAACATTGTCGATGATGGTGTAGCCGGGCCGAGCCGAGGCGGGCAGCTGCGCCAGGTGGGCGGCGTTTGTAACATCAAAAGGCTCTGCGTACAGTACACAGTCCTTAAAACGGATTAAAATTTCATTTAAATTTGCATTTAAATGAGCGCAGCGCACTCAAAGTAAATGCCCTCACTTAAGCACACGACAAAGGGCTGACCAGATACCCAGAAAACCGGACAGCCAGACAACCAGACGGCCGGACTACCAGACATCCAGACTCAGCAGAGCTCGAGACTTCGATAGGTCCCGCTTGCCACATGGGCAACATTAAAAACTCTTTGTTTTTTTCTGCCTGTTCGTTTATTTTCTCGACTGGCAGCTGCAGTTCAGTTGATTACCTTTGGCAGCTGATATGGCCGCCGATGGGCGTGGCGTGGCGTGGGCTTAAGCGAGCGATCTGCTGCTGCATTTTAATGGGTATTATTTAAATATGTATATTTTACAATTAAATAAACGATTTTTATGCTCTTATGGTGCCCAGTTCCAGTTTCAGCTGCTGTCCGGCCACCGGAATCCTTTCAGGTAGCCCCGCCCGCCATCCACGTCTCGTCTGTATTTTCTGTTTTGCGTGTTAATTAAATTGCAAAACTGCCTTAAGGACATTTTAATTGGCCTTCACTTTGTGGCACGCTCCATTTATGCTGTGCACCAGTTGCAGCTAGTCCCATTCCCAGCTTCCTGTTCATTGTATATTATTGCAGAATTGCTTTATTAGCTTTTCCTGCTAGCAAGCTTTCGATATTTTTGTTATCGATATATTTGGAATGCTGGGAAATCGAATGAATGTTGCGTGTATTGACAGCTATCATGAAGTCAACATAAATAACTTATCTAAACCTTCTCTATAAATTATTTCATAACAGATATATATTTATATATATGTTAGTTATCGATAGTTTTGAAATCTGTGCAAATCGAATTAAGTTTTATGGTTTTTAACATATAAACAGAAATAATTCAATATAGAAATAAATAAGCCTCTACTATTAATCGATCTTTTGGTATTAGTTATCGATATTTAATTTATACAATGCTTGCTCATCGAAAAAAAAATCGTTTCTTTTTTTGTATGTAAGCTATTGCAAAGTTAACTTTATAAATGTAACTGAGCATTCGGAGAAACTTGGAAGAAATCTTCTAGTACTAAGTTTTCTATACATTTGTTATCGATATACAAGTTATCGATATATATAAGTCCTTATGCATGGTTTTAAGGGGTAAAGCTAGTATAAGCAATATGTGTACCCAAGTTTCTTGATATATTTTATATCGATAATTTAGCTGTCTATAGTTTTCCGATTTAGTTGATATCGATCAACTTGAAAAAGTTGCGCAATGAAAGCAAACCTATTAAATTTTTGTGTGTTTTATGTGAAATTCTTACTACAGACTTCTCCTGCCTTTTGATAAGTTCAATCTCCATTTATATTTGATATCGATATATTGATTACGCTCGCAATTCAATCTTTGTCTTTAGAGTATTATGAATGTATTTGGAAACTATTTCAGTTGGCTTGTCGTTGTCCTTGTCGTCCATTCGTCCGCCCGTTTGTCTGTTGGCGAAATAACAAATTTTCCAATTTGTTTCTTGATTTATTTTCACGCCAATTTCTTGGCGTTCGCCTCCGACGACGCTGCTGACATTTGTTTATTTATTTGCTTTCATGTTTTGTCTGCCGTCGTTTTCTCTGCATTTGCTGCTGCTGCGTGAAATCACGAATGAATGAATGACTGCCCCGGCAGCCACCATGAATATTCATGGGCCATGCCACTATGAACAACAGCAGCTACAACAGCAACATCAGCAACAACAACATCATCGGCAGCAGCATCAGCATCAGCTCCAGCAACAACAATAACAAGACGCAACTAACTCAGCTTGCATTTCCGCTCTATGCGCCAACAATTCGCAGCGCCATTTTGCTGTCCACAGCAGCAGAAGCAACAGCAGCTGTAGCTCAGCATCGTGGTTTAAGTGCTCTACGTAGCTGGGCATATTAGTAATTTGATTGGCTTTGAACAGAACCATGTATTGATCAATTTTATTGCTATTTAATTAGTTTTACTGCCATAGGCATGTGGCTCAGAGTCGATGACCTTCTGAGTGGCTCAGTTGCCTAGTTCCCTGAGCAGCTAAGACAGCAGCTCTTATAGTTTTATATTTTGAATTACTTAAATTGATTAGAAGCTATATGTGACTATAGTTATTAGATATATCATAAAGTTGGCCTACACATAAATGTTTTATTTAAACTGAAGTCTCTTTGACATAAATGTACTTTGGAGCAGCTCAACTTTTTAAACAAATTTTGTTTACAAATACATAATATAAGAAAAACTTTTGCTCGCTAGGCAAAATTAAACATTAAGTGATTATCTTATTTAAATTGCTAAAATAATTAACTCAATTTATCAACTGTCAGTAGCTGGAAGAGTAAAAGCTGCAGCAAAATTAGCAGCAAAGGCAAAAAAATATATTTTAAATTGTTTACATTACAAACATAAATTTTCTTTAGTTAGACTTTCGAAGTATTCAAAATAAATTTTATTAAAAAATTACTGCCTTGATTTGTTGTTATTTGTTTTCACAAAAATATATAAAAATGAAATTTAAATTTGTCTTTTGCTGTTGCCAAATGCATTTTTATTTTATGTATGAGAAGAGAGAAGATATAGTTATAAAAAAATATGAAGCACTATATATAAATATATTTATATAAATATATATAAATAATTTATTCAATCAGAAAGGTTTCAGCACAATTGAAGTACCTTTTCTCACACAATTCCTAGCTCTAAGCACTATTTACATACTTGCTTACAATTACATATTATATTTTTCATATATATTCTATAATATGAGAAAAAAGCAAGCATATTCGCACTTCGACCTTTGTCTTTGGCAGCCTTTGGTGTCTTGTTCTTGTTCTGGTGCTTGTTCCTGTTCTATGCGCGCAGCTGTTTCTTGGTGAGCTGCTGCAAATTGCTTGGCTGCTTGTTGCTGCTGTTGTTGCCATTGTTTTAGTCAACATTTTGTGGTTAAGTGCAGCCCTCTCTCTCGCTATGTGTGTGTGTGTGCAACAGTTTCTTACAGGCCGCACAAAAGTAGGCAATGCCTTGCGCTTGTATCGAACAGGAAATTTAATTAAAAGCGCTTTGTCCACGATTTCAAATACAGGATATGTACACACACAAATATATATATATATATATATATATATATAAGTAGTAGAGACCACAACTTACAGCAACTGAAACTGCCAAGTTTTTACACTGCCGTACACCTCTCGCTTGAGCTAACGAACTGTGACTACAATCAGCGTCCTGCTGCACTTGACTTTAGTACACTTTGGCCATTCTAGCCAACGGTTGCTGCTGTGATTTCCAGCCCACATTTCGAGGCGCCTCATGAGAAACTTGTCAGCTGCTGCTGCCGGCCCCGACTTCTGTTGATTGCTCCGGAACAATCGCAATGGCATATTGTCCGGCTCACACACACACAAGCACACACGTACTCTGACTGCGATGCTTGCAACAATTCAGAATCTATTGATTTTCAGCGCTAATTACTAAGGGATAAGTGTGCGTGTGCACGTGTGTGTGTGGCCAGCTAAGAGACCGCTTGTTGCCTAATTGTAGCTGTACGATAAGATTGCTTCAATGTCAGGCCACATTTTGTGTTTTGGCTTCACTAATCGCCGTTGTGGCTGGAGAACCCAAATATGATTTAAGCTGGGTGTTTTCTGGTCAAAGTATATATATCAATGGCATTTTTGCTTTTTATTAGCTCCCTGCCAAAATATGACATCTGTTTTGTCTTTATTACAGTCCTTTGATAATCAAAGTTTCTGATTGAGAAACAAATGAATATTTAAATAAAATATAAATGTTAATATTTGTGTAGAAGACTTTAATAAACGCTCAGCACTACAGTCTGATATGCTTCTTACTTCTTGGCTAATTTATTCATAGCTTTAACAAGCAAATTCATAAGTTAATAAAAACTAGAGTTAAATATTAATGAAAATAGTTTTAATGTTTTTTTTTTTAATATTTTGCTTGTAAGTCATTATAATTCTGTATTCTCCTGAAACAATTTTCAAAGAATTTTTGTCACTCTTAAATGAGTATTAAAAGCTTCTTCAGCTTCTTCAATTTACCTTTTCTGTTTGGGCATAAAAAGATATATTTTTTTTTATAAATTTATACTTCTGAATTTGATGTATGAAATTTATGCTAAAAATACTAAACTTTCTATTAGAAATATCAAATTGCAACTCATTTTATTTAGTCTCTCAAAGGCGCACTAATTAAAAGGTAATTGTCGTAGACGAATATTTCTCTTATGACTTTTACACAGCTTTTCTTTAGGCAAAGCTTCGAGTTACTCAGTTAATTCGAGTTGTTGCTTAAAATAAGATTCATTGGATTCAAAATTAAGCTCAAAGGCTAAACTGAAGACTTGTTAAATGCAATTAATTTCTAGTTTCTGATGCAAGCTATTCAAGCAAGAGTTTGGCTATGAGAAATGGAATATTTTGTCTAGTTAAAAATTATTTTTAACTGTTCTTGGGTAAATAATATCAAATTCTTAGCAGCAATTAACTCATGGCCAACCTTGGCGATAGAAATGCCGTGAACTAGGTCAACACAGCAAAGCAAAATGATATTTCATTGAGAAATGCAAAGAAAATAAGGCTAGTCTTGAAGCGAGTGACTGACTAGCAGATGCCCTGTATAGACACTCGAGAGGCAGTTGTATAGGGGTAATGAATACTGTATGAAGCGCTTTGTTCAAGTACAGTTTTTGTAAAGCTGAAAAATATATAAGAGAAAGCTAAAAGCTTTTATATATTTTAAAATTAA